GACTCCTGGTGTGCAACTCAGGAGTACATTTCTCAACTAGTACTGTCGCTAGGGAGTCACTGCAGGGAACGTGGTGCAGCACAGCTTAGTGGTGCCAGCGAGAGTGAGTCGTAGCAGGGACAACTCAGGTGCATCATCTGGGAATCATATCAGCTTACACTGTAACTGGAGAGAGCAGGCTAGCAGTCAGTGACAGTCTCCTGCTGACAGGGCTACTGCAGCTTGATAATGTCATCCTCTCGATCAGAGTGGAGTCAGAGCAAATGTTATACCAAGTGTCCCCACACTGGGTTCCATTCACAACTGAACTTGATGGTCAGGAGGAGGAATAATGAGTCTCAATGGGGAGTTGTCGCAGCTATGTCTCAGGCATGGCATCTAAGAGCAACGAGCATAACAACTTTCTGTAAATGTGGGCTCAGATGCTTGTAATCTGATGCATGGACTGACTAATGTCAGTTGTCCTACAGTCACAAAAGGGTGACATGTAAAACGAAGGTATTATCAATTGTCTGTGTGTAGACCACACTGTGATCTACACACACATTTGGGCTCAGACCACTTAACATCGGGGGACACATAAATTTTCACACCCACACTGCACATGTGGTTACAACATATCTTGCACTAGCAAATGATGCTTCTCTGTGCAAAAACCAACACTACGGCATTCACGAACGTTTGAGAACACTGAGAGGAATTAACGTATATCTTCTCCCAATCGTTCTGGACAATAGTGAATACAAATTGATAACTATGAAACTATAACACTGTCGATGTGACATCATGTGGTGATGTTAAGTGTGATGTCATAAGGCGATGCCGTGGGGTGACATCGCGAGGTGACAGGGCAGATGTCGCGGGTGACGTCACAGGGTGACATTGGGCAGACATTGTGGGTGACATTTTGAGGTGACGTCGGACAGACATTGTGGGTGATGCCAGGCAGCATGGTGAAGTCAAGCAGACGTCCTAGGGTGACATCGGGCAGCATCGTGACATCAGGGGTGATGCTGCCAGCATGTTGACATCAGGCAGCAGACGTCGTGAGGTTGCATCAGGCAGCATGGTGACATCACGAGGTGACGTCGGGAGCATGGTGACATCAGGGGGTGATGTTGGAAGGTAATGTCAGGCAGCGAACAACACGTGGTTTTGGATATCTAGCTTGGTAACTCACGTGGCTTCTTGATCCACGTGGCTTCATGATCCACGTGGCTTCATGATCCACGTGGCTTCATGATCCACGTGGCTTCATGATCCACGTGGCTTCATGATCCACGTGGCTTCATGATCCACGTGGCTTCATGATCCACGTGGCTTCATGATCCATGTGGCTTCATGATCCACGTGGCTTCATGATCCACGTGGCTTCATGATCCACGTGGCTTCTTGATCCACGTGGCTTCATGATCCACGTGGCTTCATGATCCACGTGGCTTCTTGATCCACGTGGCTTCATGATCCACGTGGCTTCATGATCCATGTGGCTTCTTGATCCACACGGCTTCATGATCCACGTGGCTTCATGATCCACGTGGCTTCATGATCCACGTGGCTTCATGATCCACGTGGCTTCATGATCCACATGGCTTCATGAACTACGTGGCTTCATGATCCACGTGGCTTCATGAGCCACGTGGCTTCATGATCCACATGGCTTCATGAACCACGTAGCTTCATGAGCCACGTGGCTTCGAGTGACTTTAGGCACTCGGATACACAGCTCTGGTGAGAATTTACATTGAATTCACAGAGAAAACAGCAGAGATGGAGTGAGTAATGTTGAGTGGTGGGTGGTGGTAGCAGTGTGGGGTGGTGAGGTGAGGTGCATATGGTGGGGCCAGGACCAATGTGCTTCCAATCCTCACACAACACACATGGAGTCCAGGACGGATCCAGTCACACTGGATGCTGAACACCACCATAACTCACCTACGACTTGCTGAAAATAGGCGTGCTTAGCTGAACACAACAGCAGCAACATACTGGTGACGCTGAAATGTAACTTGAAAACAGCATGGGACACTGTGGAGTTGAAGGGAACACCACTAAGATTTCTCGAAGAAACACAGCATATTTTGGCCTGGATCCTGCTTGTACCTGTGTCTGAATGCTGAGACTTGCAGACACGACATCAGGACAACTCATTGAGAAATGGATGCTGCTTCTACTATGTAATGAAGGAGTGGCATCTTCATGCTTCCTTCTTCTCTCCGAGCAAACACAGCCACTGCAAACGCCTTTTGCCACCAATATTAATAGTTATTTTGTGTGTAGATCTGGTAGCGGTGAATGATAACGCTTTGGAGACATGTTACTTAATTGGGGCTTGTATAGAGGCAGTGTATTCAAGTTGCCCTGGGGCCCAGCCTTTGGGGCCTCACTGCAAGGGAGAGAAGGCTGCCTGGGGGAGAGTGAGGGCAAATCAGGGTGCTTTGGGGTGAGCTGTGGGTAGGCCTGTAGCCACTAGGGGTAGCACTAGGCTATGGGCATTGCTCCCCAAATGGTAGGCATGGGGAACAGCATCTGCACTACAGACTTATATACCCTCCAATTCATTCTATTTTGTTCTATCCTCTCTAAATGTCCGAACCACCTCAATCTCTCCTCAGCTTTCTGCAATTGTTTTAATTTAATCAGGGGAACCACTAAACCACTAAACCCAGAGAGATCATATGCCTTTGGAATGGGTGGCATTTGGAACACCCTCCAGGTATACTACAGGCATCCAGATTCGATCTAAAAACACCTTCCTTCATGAACCCTAATACAGTTATTTAATGAAAAATATTACTATACATTTAGAGATTTAAAGTGCCAAAATGGATCTTACATTCATTACCAATACTCACGTTATAAGACGGATATATCATTGCTGGAATTATGAAGTTAATCAAGAGAGGCTTTCCAAAGCTATCATTTGGAAACCAGTTTTAAAAATGATCTATATAAAACTGGGCAGAGAGGAACTGCATTTATCAACTGCTCCACAAACCATTCCCTAGTAATAGTTGACCATAGTTGAAAATTTGAAGCCGATCAGATAAGACTTTCTGCAGTTTAATAAAAGAATTTGTAAATTTAGCAAACTGATATATAATACGATCTCAGATTCAGTAAAGAAAACATATTTCCAATTAAGATGCACCAATGTTTGTGTGTTTGAAACGGATCAAAAGAGGCATTTGTCTGATTGTACATGGAAACTAATATATTTAATAATAAAACTGGCTATTTAAAATTTACATAGCTTAAAATGAAAGACTTCTTTTAATTAAGCTTAATAGTGAAATTCTGAAGTATATCAGAAAAAGCATATTATAATATACTTGCAAAATCTTTAGTATGAATCCAAAAATTCCAAGTTTTTAACTGTTTAATTGTAATTTTAAAATTACATCTTAAAAGTCCAAATTTCCTTCTTATGGAATACATCAGCGTTAATATTTAGAGGCTGATAGGACGAGGCTCTTTATTTTGTGAAGAAAATTAAATATCAATTTTATTTAATAAAACTGGGATATTGGGACTAAGGGAACAAAATAACAATAAGAACCTTACTTTCTGGGAAACACTTCAAGGCTAAAAATTGTAAGTTAGTTTAATTTATGTACCCCATACCCATGGTGTGGGCGGTAGTCACCCCATACCCATGGTGTGGGCGGTAGTCACCCCATACCCATGGTGTGGGCGGTAGTCACCCCATACCCATGGTGTGGGCGGTAGTCACTCCATACCCATGGTGTGGGCGGTAGTCACCCCATACCCATGGTGTGGTCGGTAGTCACCCCATACCCATGGTGTGGGCGGTAGTCACCCCATACCCATGGTGTGGGCGGTAGTCACCCCATACCCATGGTGTGGGCGGTAGTCACCCCATACCCATGGTGTGGGCGGTAGTCACCCCATACCCATGGTGTGGGCGGTAATCAAAAATATTACAGTTTTGGTAACTGAACAAGTTACTACGACAATGAACTATTCACACATCCTCCCCCGATCACAACTGCAATGAGTTATTAATGCAAAAATTAGTTTTTTTTTATATAGTGTGCAAAGTCAGAGTATTTTTCCCAGAATGGTTTCTAATATACCACCGTGGATAAAATACTTTGACATATCTTGAACATTTCTGAGTGAGTTGTCTCTGAATTCATTAATTTTCTCGCATCCTAGTACATAATGACTCAAAGTGTAACAATAATCTATCTGGCAAAGTTGACATTTCGTGTAGATCAAACGAAAATTGTAAGTCGATCAGAAGAGTCATTCTCCAGTTATAGCAACGATCCTAAGTATTTACAAACAATTTAGTGCAGTAAGATATTTGCCCTCACACTGTCCTGGACAGGATGCATCAGCAATTAAATAATGAACCGTTTAAAAGATTTAGACTAAGATGTATCTGTGCTAAACTCTGCACTATAGGAAGGCATCATATATATTTGGCACCCGCTATTCGCTGATTTTCAGTTGAACCGTTGTTCATTATGTTTGGTGAAATTACCGTTTTTTCCATACAACAGTTGCGGAAAGGAAGGGCGACCGGCGCCACATTTTAAGTTAAGTATTGTATGTACTGTGTATTTATTTTACTTTTGTATGTTTTTTTATGCCCCAGACGCATTCGATATTGAAAAAATACTTTTTATTCCACCCAATGGGGTATTTTGGCTTATCACCGAGGGTCAGAAACATAACTGTCATAGAAATGGTGCCTTCCTGCATTTCTTTTGCGTGCACTGATGTACAGAGGCTTGGGGTTATGCGACCACCTGAAATAAATCTAGTTTGCCTAATGGGTTGTGTCATCCCTGTTGATACATTATCCACAGTCACTGGTGAGGGAGTTAACCTGTGTGTTCTTCCACTTTCACGAGAATATTGCTTACCTGTAACCTTGACAACTTCCAGAGGTCAGTTTTTACACTATCACAGCATCTGATATTTCTAGTTACCACACAATCTTGGTAAATGTTGACATTTGCTCATTTCAGACAGTTTCTCATTTCCCACAGTCTGTGGTGTCATGACTGCCAAGACATACCCAAGGCCACCTGCATGACCCACAACGTTAGCAACCGGTCAGCCACCTCCTGCGCTACCATTGGTCAACAGGTACAGTATGCATGTGTGAGTGAAAATAAACAATCATATGTAATGAAGCAAGATTAAATTGAAGTAATGTATAACATACATTAACGAAAAGAGAACTCTTTCCATGATGTCCTGTAGCCTATAATAAATTTGTTAATGTTAAAGTTTCTGATGAAAGTAACAAACACATTATAACTGGAACTTTTAGCATCTCAACATTTATATCCTCTAGTTAAAAACTAATTTTATTTACATTAGTGTATGTATTTTACACACCAGTTTTATTTGTTTATTTTTGATAAACTATCATTTACTAACATTCTTCATAAATTCTATTTTTGCTTTCACGCATTTCTTTTACAGAGTATTAATTGCCACTAATACCAACATCAATTTGTTGTGCCATTTGCTCTTTATTTCACAATAATCAATTATATTTTTGTCTTGTGTGTTTGAGATCTCGCCTGGCCGGGACAGTACTGCCAGACCTACAATAATGTTGACATCGACTCAGTTCCTGCTCATGGGTCCTGCCTTTTGATTATTAATCAAAAAATCTGAAGACTTTTCACACTCGTTTTTTTTTTTTTAATTTAAATATAAATTCAGTTATGGAGTGCCTTCGTTATTTTACTCTGGTGTTCCACTCGCTGGGCCTCTGGTGTTCCACTCGCTGGGCCTCTGGTGTTCCACTCGCTGGGCCTCTGGTGTTCCACTCGCTGGACCTCTGGTGTTCCGCTCGCTGGGCCTCTGGTGTTCCACTCGCTGGGCCTCTGGTGTTCCACTCGCTGGGCCTCTGGTGTTCCACTCGCTGGACCTCTGGTGTTCCACTCGCTGGGCCTCTGGTGTTCCACTCGCTGGGCCTCTGGTGTTCCACTCGCTGGACCTCTGGTGTTCCGCTCGCTAGGCCTCTGGTGTTCCACTCGCTGGGCCTCTGGTGTTCCACTCGCTGGGCCTCTGGTGTTCCACTCGCTGGACCTCTGGTGTTCCACTCGCTGGACCTCTGGTGTTCCGCTCGCTGGGCCTCTGGTGTTCCACTCGCTGGGCCTCTGGTGTTCCACTCGCTGGGCCTCTGGTGTTCCACTCGCTGGGCCTCTGGTGTTCCACTCGCTGGGCCTCTGGTGTTCCACTCGCTGGGCCTCTGGTGTTCCACTCGCTGGGCCTCTGGTGTTCCACTCGCTAGGCCTCTGGTGTTCCACTCGTTGGGCCTCTGGTGTTCCGCTCGCTAGGCCTCTGGTGTTCCACTCGCTGGGCCTCTGGTGTTCCACTCGCTGGACCTCTGGTGTTCCGCTCGCTAGGCCTCTGGTGTTCCACTCGCTGGGCCTCTGGTGTTCCACTCGCTGGGCCTCTGGTGTTCCACTCGCTAGGCCTCTGGTGTTCCACTCGTTGGGCCTCTGGTGTTCCACTCGCTGGACCTCTGATGTTCCGCTCGCTGGGCCTCTTTTGTTCCACTCGCTGGGCCTCTGGTGTTCCACTCGTTGGGCCTCTGGTGTTTCGCTCGCTAGGCCTCTGGTGTTCCACTCGCTGGGCCTCTGGTGTTCCACTCGCTGGGCCTCTGGTGTTCCACTCGCTAGGCCTCTGGTGTTCCACTCGTTGGGCCTCTGGTGTTCCACTCGCTGGACCTCTGATGTTCCGCTCGCTGGGCCTCTTTTGTTCCACTCGCTGGGCCTCTGGTGTTCCACTCGTTGGGCCTCTGGTGTTTCGCTCGCTAGGCCTCTGGTGTTCCACTCGCTAGGTCTCTGGTGTTCCACTCGCTGGGCCTTTGGTGTTCCACTCGCTAGGCCTCTGGTGTTCCGCTCGCTAGGCCTCTGGTGTTCCACTTGCTAGGCCTCTGGTGTTCCACTCGCTGGGCCTCTGGTGTTTCGCTCGCTAGGCCTCTGGTGTTCCATTCGCTAGGCCTCTGGTGTTCCACTCGTTGGGCCTCTGGTGTTCCACTCGCTGGACCTCTGATGTTCCGCTCGCTGGGCCTCTTTTGTTCCACTCGCTGGGCCTCTGGTGTTCCACTCGTTGGGCCTCTGGTGTTTCGCTCGCTAGGCCTCTGGTGTTCCACTCGCTAGGTCTCTGGTGTTCCACTCGCTGGGCCTCTGGTGTTCCACTCGCTAGGCCTCTGGTGTTCCGCTCGCTAGGCCTCTGGTGTTCCACTTGCTAGGCCTCTGGTGTTCCACTCGCTGGGCCTCTGGTGTTTCGCTCGCTAGGCCTCTGGTGTTCCATTCGCTAAGCCTCTGGTGTTCCACTCGCTGGACCTCTGGTGTTCCACTTGCTGGGCCTCTGGTGTTCCGTTCGCTAGGCCTCTGGTGTTCCACTCGCTAGGCCTCTGGTGCTCCACTCGCTGGGCCTCTGGTGTTTCGCTTGCTAGGCGTCTGGTATTCCACTCGCTAGGCCTCTGGTGTTCCACTCGCTGGACTTCTGGTGTTCCACTTGCTGGGCCTCTGGTGTTCCACTCGTTTTCCCTCTGGTGTTCCATTCGCTAAGCCTCTGGTGTTCCACTCGCTGGGCCTTTGGTGTTCCACTAGCTGGGCCTCTGGTGTTCCACTCGTTAGCCCTCTGGTGTTCCATTCGCTGGGCCTCTGGTGTTCCACTCGTTGGGCCTCTGGTGTTCCGCTCGCTAGACCTCTGGTGTTCCGCTCGCTAGGTCTCAGATGTTCCGCTCGCTAGTCCTCTGGTGTTCCACTCGCTGGGCCTCTGGTGTTCCGCTCGCTAGGCCTCTGGTTTTCCGCTCGCTAGGCCTCTGGTGTTCCGCTCGCTAGGCTTCTGGTGTTCCACTCGCTAGGCCTCTGGTGTTCTACTCACTGGGCGCCTGGTGTTCCACTCGCTGGGCGTTTGGTGTTCCACTCGCTGGGCGTCTGGTGTTCCACTCGCTGGGTGTCTGGTGTTCCACTCGCTGGGCGTCTCGTGTTATACTCGCTGGGCGTCTGGTGTTCCACTCGCTGGGCGTCTGGTGTTCCACTCGCTGGGCGTCTGGTGTTCCACTCGCTGGGCGTCTGGTGTTCCACTCGCTGGGCGTCTTGTGTTCCACTCGCTGGGCGTCTTGTGTTCCACTCGCTGGGCGTCTGGTATCTGGTCTGTTACGTAGATTTTTTATTCAACATTGGTTCAGGTTTCTTCTTTCTATTTGCTCTTGTCTGCTATAGCTCACTAATGCCTTACAAATTCTAGGGTAATACTTATGGTTATGAGAAGTCCACCTCAGCCTCTGACACTTATCCTGCCTTCCATTCAGACAATAGGTTATTTAAATCTTATGATACCAAAATAATTGTATATTCAGTAGATAAGTATTTACAGCATATACATGTGAGAAGTAGTCTGGCCCAGCCTTCACATCCACCAGGAATACACAACCTTCTAGTATAAAGCACAGTAGTTCCATCACATGGGAACCTGTCACATTATCCTATCTGAAACAATTATCTTTCTTCCTCCCTGGTGCCTTAAAACCTAGTGTTTTGATACACTGCAGCACTATTGTTACAACATCAGACCTTAATTATAAGTCTTACCTCCAGGGCAACTCACAGTTTACCAGAAGTTGCGTTAATGTTTCTCTCAGTCAGGTCAGCACAAGAATGAGGATGACAGCCTCTGCCACCCTCACACCAAAAACAAAAGAGCATCACCATGCACAATAGTTCTCAACTAATGCATTAATACTCTTATTTTTCTCCCATAACATTAAAACTTATACTTTTAAAATACTGCTACTACGATATAATTATTATAACAATTATTTGTTCTGCTTATAAGTGCCTATTTCCATTAAAATACAGGGTTAATTAGCACTTTTGTCTCTCCCCATAAGAGTGATCAAATCTTATAACAGAATCAAGGCAGTTGTGCCTCCAACACAACTGCCTACAGTGTTCTGCTCCCTGGACCTCCAGCGTTCCGCTCCCTGGACCTCCAGTGTTCCGCTCCCTGGACCTCCAGCGTTCCGCTCCCTGGACCTCCAGTGTTCCGCTCCCTGGACCTCCAGCGTTCCGCTCCCTGGACCTCCAACGTTCCGCTCCCTGGACCTCCAGCGTTCCGCTCCCTGGACCTCCAGCGTTCCGCTCCCTGGACCTCCACGTCGTCTACTCGCTTCTCCTGGACCTCCAGCGTTCCGCTCCCCTGGACCTCCAGCGTTCCGCTCCCTGGACCTCCAGCGTTCCGCTCCCTGGACCTCCAGCGTTCCGCTCCCTGGACCTCCAGCGTTCCGCTCCCTGGACCTCCAGCGTTCCGCTCCCCTAGACTTGACCTCCAGCGTTCCGCTCCTGGACCTCCAGTGTTCCGCTCCCTGGACCTAGAGTGTTCTGCTCCCTGGACCTCCAGCGTTCCGCTCCCTGGACCTCCAGCGTTCCGCTCCCTGGACCTCCAGTGTTCCGCTCCCTGGACCTAGAGTGTTCTGCTCTGCGCTCGCGGCCCTCCAGTGTTCGCTCCTGGACCTCCAGTGTTCCGCTCCCTGACCATTCCCTACTGTTCTCTGTTCCCTGCGCTCTTCCAGTGTTCCGCTCGCTCGGCCTCCAGTGTTCCGCTCTTTGGACCTCCAGTTTCGCTCCTCGTTCATTCCTTGACCTCAAGTGTTCCGCTCCCTGGACCTAAAGTATTCCGCTCCCTGGCTCTCCAGTGCTCCGCTCGCTGGCTCTCCAGTGTTCCGCTCCCTGGACCTCCAGTGTTCCACTCCCTGAACCTCCAGTGTTCTGCTCCCTCGTTCTCCAGTGCTATTCGCTCGCTCGCCCTTCAGTGTTCCGCTCCCTGGACCTCCAGTTTCCGCTCCCTGGACCTCCAGTGTTCCGCTTCCTGGACTTACAGTGTTCCGCTCCCTGGACCTCCAGTGTTCCGCTCCCTGGATCTCCTAGTGCTCCCCTCCCATGGTGACCTCCCCAGTTTGTTTCTGCTCCCTAGACCTCAAGTGTTGCTGGTCCCCTGGCTCCATCCAGTTTCTCGCTCGCTGGCCCTCAGTGTTCCGCTCCCTGGACCTCCAGCTGTTCCGCTCCCTTGACCTCCAGTGTTCGCTTCCCTGGACCTCCAGTGTTTGTCCGCTCCATTTTTCTGGCCTC